TCCCCATCCATGATTCATTTTCTGAAAAGGCCATTTATTTCTGTCTAGAATGATGTAGCAATGAGCGTTCTTGCTCATTTTGCCTGCGAGATATGAGCAAAAACGGGACGAAAAACATGAAATTTTGGCATAATCTTGAACCTAAGTGTCTGATATTCAAATTTCGCTTTCTGGGCCAAAACTATTCGAATTTCCTTACTCACACTGTTACGACTGAATCGACTTTTCAATTCTCTATCAAACGATGCCAAAACGAATTCTGTGGCTAGAATGGTTCTTGAGAAACTTCGAAAAAAGCAGCGTTATGTTCAAGTGGATTTTGCAACTCAAAAAAAAACCACGCAAATGTAAAACTTCTTGAATCCAAGCCTTTTTTGAGAAAACTGCCAACATTTCCCCATCCATGGTTCACTTTCTAAAAAGGCCATTTATTTCTGTCTAGAATGATGTACCAATGAGCGTTCTTGCTCACTTTGCCTTCGAGAAATGAGCAAAAATAGGACGGAAAACATGGAATTTAGGCATAATCTTGCACCTAAGTGTCTGATATTCTCTCTGTCTATATTTCTCCGGAACTCTATTCTGATGGCGAAAAAATTAACTGAATTGGATTGCAAAAACTGATTTTACCGGAATACGTTTTGCGGCGAAAATGCAAGAAGTCTGGATGGAAATAGAAAAAAGCATCAATACATATACATCAACTTAGAAGTATTTACTTGGAAACTAATGAAATCTAGTCTAAATCAACATCAGCTCATAACATGTCCCGAAAACATTTTTTACATGGAAAATCCGAGTGATTTTTAGCGGAAAAGGTGCGGCATTGGACAACCACAAGTGGATTGAGTCAATCACTTAATCTAATCATAATCAAGTGGTTTGCGCTATATTTAAACCCCGATTTCGGACCGTTCTAGATCATTCAGTATAAAGTTCATCGTAAACGAGTGAAAGCTGAAAAATGTCTGTACTTGTTGGTCCAGTCGACGCTCAGGAAAAGTGGGCGGAATGGAAGGTAATACCGGCATTGATTGGCGCGCATGAGTTTTTCTAATGTTAATTCCTTCAGTCAACTCACTCAAAGGCCTACGAATCCGAGGAGGAGGAGCAGAAGCGGTTCGGGATCTTTGAGAGCAACTTGCAGGAAATAGTGGCACATAATGAAAAATTTCAAGCGGGCGACGAAACCTTCAGCAAGGCCCTCAACCGATTCGCTGACCTCACGTCTGATGAGGTGCCCAAAGGAGGCCTCATGTCCCGAAAACATTAATTTCTAACAGGATTTTTAAATGTGTTTGTTGTTTTATATGTTGAATAAATTTGATTTAAAAAAGCCCGGTTTCTATTAGACCCGTAATCAGCTAAGTAAAGACCAGAATTTTCGCCAAGAAGTTAACGATAAAATGTGGAGAACTATATATTGAAAGCAAAAAACTCAACTATAAAAGCGTTCTTCAAATAGTTTAGAGAGTCACGTCTGCGGCATTCAACGGGAGATAAGTTGCCTCAATAGAAGCCAAACAATATATTTTGATAAAAAAAACCATCACCTTCTATTTTAGGATATTCATAATCAAATTAAGACACACTCAGCCCGCCCCATCTGGCTCAATTTGCTGAAAAACCAACATCAACAATCAAAGTTTTCAAGTAATTGTCAATATTTACCCAACTCAGGTGCTCAAAACCGATAAAAACAATCTCAACTTACCGCATTAGTCAACGCAAACATCCACTAGCCATATCCAAAGATTTTTACTGAAAATCTGACATCACAATGTATCACAGACGATTTACAAGTATCACAGGTCACGAACGCTAAATCGATGTATTTATTCAGCGTCTTCAAAGCGATGAAACAGCATCGAGAATTGCTTGAGCTTGTTCTTAGCCACCCAAGTGAACTGGGGACGCAGTTCCGGCTCGATCCATCGACTCTCTTTCACGTTGGCCTTCAGCAAGGTCAGATCCCAAAAGCGCACTTCGTGACCTGGGGAAACAATCAGTTGTCTTTTAGAAAAACGCCCTGACCTACTGGGTCCTGAGGATTCCTAAATGATAGGGAACAATAAAACTTCTCATAACATTTACCAACAGTTAAACGGCGCTAGAATCTAATAAACAAAATACGTTAAAAGCATCAATAACAAAAATCCGTCACAGTAACTAAACATTTCCTAGAGCCTAATTATGTTATCTTTGTCACTTCTGCATATTGCTTCGACTAGAAGAACTTTAACTAAAGCGTGCCCACCCTGCGCTTACCGCTCATCCGCCAAGGGGGCTAGTTAAGGAAAAAACTCAACAACTGTGCCCGCTAACATTGCACAACTACGCGCGTTTAGTTGGAAATTAAAGAGCGCTTTCGTGAAGATTGCGATCCTCAATACTCATATACATGCCTTCCTCCTCATAGGTCGAGTCATGCTTGGCAAGAACGCGCAGCAGAGGTCTCAGCTTCAGCCACCATTGATCCTTCGGAAGCCTATGCCTAAAAACCATTGTGTATTTATTAAACTCGATAAACTAGCGGTGAGGTAGGAAATCGGCGATTTCTACTTACCGGAGTAGGTGAGGCGAAGTGCATAGCGTTAAGCGACAAATCAAGCTAGAAAGGGTGATGCGAATGGGCGGTGTTTATCACATTCACATGGGTTTTGTCAAAATAACCACAACGGGCACGTTTAATGCTTTTACTACAACAATTTCCATAAACGATACAATTTCATATATGTGTAAGTCAATTTGCCATTCTTCCTTAAAACTCTTGTAGAATGGGCGCCTATAAAGGCCAAACAAACAATCCCAACTTAGTCGTTAAGTTGAATATAACTCAGTACAAATAAATAAATAATTTCCTACAATCAATCAACCGCAGGTTGAATCCAACCTGGAATTACCTGAAAACTATAGAAAATACTGACATAGTTCCTAGCAAAGGAAGCAATCTTTGACCGTTATCATCTACATGGAAATTAAAATAAACCTAGATGAGCATGGAATGAATCCAAAACGAAGCATGCGGAGTATTTCTAGTATATTCTCCTAAGAACCGAGCTTCTCGGATGCGAATCTACGAAAGCGCATAATCTAGATGGTGGCATCTACTAGTCGGTCCTCAATGGACATGTACATGCCCTCTTCTTCGTAGGTTGAGTCGTGTTTTGCCAAAATACGCAGAAGCGGCCTGAGCTTTAACCACCATTGCTCTTTGGGTATACGCTGACTGCAAGAACAAGCCCATAGTAGATTTTTAACCGGACTTTAGTCCATTTGCATATCAGAAAATTGAATTTGCTATATTGCTAACTTTCCAAACCGATCGCGTTTGTCACAAGAACAATCTCAACTTTAGATTTTAGTACGTAAACATTGGCGTTTTTCCGCTATCAACAAATTTTCAGTTGTCATCACAATCGCATTTCCTGTTAAAGAATCGCCCTGAGAGGAAAGGTTTCAAGTTAAAATGCTCTTAATAGGCTGCAAAAAAACTAAGCAATCAAGCAAACCCCCCAGTGTGAAATTAAAACACAGAATCCCCTTGAAAAGGAAAACTCACTCGAAATTGGTCTGGTCCTTCAGAGTGTGCAGACTAGTGCACTTGTACTGCCGCTTAACAATACCGAGCAAGCAGGCGGTGTTCGGGTCTGTGCAGTTGATTTTACCATCATGATCCGTGTTGTTCTTCAGCTGGCACACCATCCAGTCGACGGCTTTCGCCGCCATCTTCGTGCCCAGATTCCGGTCGAACGGCGAAGGCGAACCTCCTTGTTGCATGTGGCCTACGCGCAGCATTTAATGATTAATCAACTAGGCGAGTTGAACAGGCTGATGTTGCTCACCTAAGACGTTCATCCTGGCACTGAACAGGCCTTTGCCCTCCTCCGAATACAATCTGAATATAAACTCAGTATTGTAGTTGTCGGAGGCCTTTTCGTTCCGCAGAATCAGCCCGCGCTGCACTCCTTCAGACATCTTGGTAGCCATGTGGTAGACGTCCTGCTGCAGATCTTTGATGGTGAATTTCTCTTCGTAGATGTAGGCGGCGTCCGCTCCACCTGCCAGTCCGGCCACAGTAGCCAAGTAGCTTTGAGAAGAAAATAACTGGTTCGTTTCCAGACCTTGGCAAATGTTTAACGGGGCTCACCCGCAATATCCGCCCATGGTTTCAATCACAAACACCCTCCGTTTGGTGCCTTGAGCCGACTGTCGGATCCGATCGCAAATTTCCGTGATCTCATTAAGGGCCGTGTCGCAACCCAGGGAAAATTCCGTTCCGGGCACGTTGTTGGAAATGGTGCTGGGAATAACCATGATGGGGATGCGGAAGGCGTGATGCTCGTCGCGGTTTTCGCTCAGCTGCAAAGCCGCTTGAAAGCCCTGGAATTTTTGCAAGCGCCGCATTATCACCAACGTTTTCTGGTCGCGTACTTTACCTCAAAACCTCCAATAATCAGCAATGCCTGTATGCCAAACTCCTCCATTCTGGAGGCCACTAGCCCCATGCGATGTCCGGGAAGGGTGCGCTTCGTGCCCAAATAGGCCCCTCCGTGTCCCACCCAACCAGTCACGTCCGACCAGTCTTAGGAATGACGACAAGTGTTGAAATTCTGCCCAAAAACGGGACAAACCAACTCACTCATATGCTTGATGTTTCCGGCAATGAGCCCCTCCAGCCCGTCGTGGATGCCCAGCACTGTATCTCCCCTGTAGATGCAGTTTCGGACGAAAGAGCGGACGGCTGCGTTCATGCCGCAACAAGGCGCTCCAATGTGCATAACGGCCATGGTGTAGCCTTCCTAGAAAAGGGGCACAAACGGTACAGTTACAGACCCTTTGAGTGGTGGTAGAAGCCGGGTAAGATCAGAAAGTGCAGACCTGAGCGTTGAGGCAAGTGTTTTATGGCTGCAGTGCTCAGAAACTTGCACAAAACGAAAGCTAGGGATTTTTTTAACTTTACCCGAGTAACTTACGCTAAATACACTGGGTTTGGCTAAAATTCGCAAGTGCGCGTCTATGCCTACGTCTATTCTCTGGGCAACTAGAAACTAAATTGCCACCTACACACCAAAAAATGTGCGAGAAACAAGCGTAACAAGCAATAAAGAACTTGGCAAGCTATAGTTATGTGTGAAAGGGGTACTTTTGAAAGAATACTCACCGAGCCCCACAAAGTATCTCGCTAAAATCCACCGAAAATCAAGAAAAATCGGGTTAGTAATTAGAAGAAAACGTCTTGTTTGAGTGCAGCGGTTAACAGGAAAGTCCTGACTCACTTCGACCAATGCGCTAGATCGTTTGTTTTGAGGAAAATGCAAAATCAATAAGTAACAACCAGTTGCAAACACAGGCACATGCAACAAGTGCCAGTTTGCTGTGTAAATCGAATCATTGCAATTAATGAAACTGTAATACCTTCTGAAGTCCATGCTTCTGATCCTTAAGGGAGCGCAGAACAAGAAATTATGGATTAGTTACTCAAATTTGGATGGATCATTTACGCACTAAATACTTAGTAACATAGTACAAGTACAAGTACCGAAATTAGATTTTGAATTAGAATTGATTTAGATTGAATGAGAAAAAACTGCAATTTATACAAACCTCACTCTAAAATGAGTTAGTTTCATTTAACAAAACTCACTTAGTGAGTGAAAAAAACACATAGTTGGAACACCCTTGGTGTAGTAAATTCCACTTACTTTGCCTTGCCCCTGTTCGTCAAATGCGGTCTTTGGTGGCTTCAACCGCGTTAACAGCTTATAGGTGGACAAGTTCCTCATGAAAGACTTGCCTCGCAATTGGACAGCTTTGTCCCACTGCTTATCTACCATGGCCTGAGGATGAATTCAAGGCAACCAATAGTAAGTCCAAAAGCCTCCAAAAATACCTGGGCGACCGCCTTTGTTTGCTTCACGCATTCCATCAACGGCAGTCTTACTGCTTGATTTCCATCCAGGGAAATAACGCACGGGTCTGTGTTTTCATCGGCCTCCATCAGCGCCATCACTGCCTCGGCTCCCATCCTTGAACCCTGTTGGGCAACCCAAATTAGAAACGATACTAGCAGCAACTAGTCTTCTCTTACCAAAACCCGATCAAAAGCAGACGGGTTTCCTCCTCTTTGCACATGTCCCAGGACAGTAATGCGAGTGTCCTGATGCAAATTATCAACCACCACCTTCCTGATGTCTTCGGCTGTGATTGGTTGGCCGTTACGATCAATCGCGCCCTCCGCTACAATGATGATGTTCAACCGTTGCCCGACGTTTCTTTCCTGAAACCACAGCGGCCAGTTTAGATTAAACAATCCCCTAAACAGAGTAGTGTGCCGTTAATAGTTACGCGATCCTTAGTATCAGTAATCAGTAATTAATTCTTCGATAGTGGGATTGACACATATAAATCTAATATCACAACATATTAATCGCAATATTAGTGATTGAGTACCTGCATCAGTTTTCTACAAAGCTTATCGGTCCAATCTAGTGGAGCGGGGTCTTCGGGGATAAAAACGTAGTCGGCTTCGCTGGTTAAAGCAGCGACCAGCGCTAAGTAGCTGGAATGGTTAAGAGTGTTCACAAAAACATACAACACCGTATTAATAAAATGGGGGGAAATTTCAAAATAGATTAATAATCAACCAGGCAGCGTTGTTCACTCGGACAAAACTGGTTAGTCGGAGCTCAATACCCAAAAAAAATTAACCTGTTCGAGCTTGTCGCACAGTTTTTTCTGCCAGTCGTCTGGAGGCGGCGATTCGGGAACAAACACGTAGTCCGCTTCGGACGTTAAGGCTGCCACTATGGCTAAGTACCTAAAGAAGTGCACTATATTTGGCCCAAATTCCTAACAGGAAAAATTAAGGAGACAAGTGGGAAAACTCACCCGCAATGCCTGCCCATCACTTCCATAATAAAGGTGCGTTGATGAGAATAAGCAGTCGATACGATGGCGTCTGTCGCCTCAATGATTCTGTGAAAACAATCAGTTTTATGCAATAGCCCAATGATGAACATGTTCTTACCTATGCAAAGCACTGTCAGTTCCAATGGTCATATCGGTACCACAGAAGTCGTTATCAATGGAACCAACCAGACCGGCAATAAACAGCGATTTGTACTTTTCGCGCTGTTCCGCAGTGATTTTGCCTTCTTTCAGCAATTCGTCCAGCAGCACCGACCATTCCTGCTTAAACAGATCGGCGCCAGTCAGAGAACCGTCGCCTCCAATCACCACCAAGTTGGTGATGCCCTTTTCCACTAGATTAAAGGCGGCCTTTTTGCGCCCTTCATGTTCCCTGAAAAGAACCAAATTAGGCAATTAATCAAAATCTATTATGTACTCTAATCGCATTAATTGCCATTAAAGTCGATTAGCGGATTAAGGAGATTTGATCAATCACCTAAGACTTACTTAAAGTCCATGCACCGGGCTGATCCAATAATGGTGCCGCCTTTGTGGATAATGGAGCTCACTGAAGACCAGTTGGCTTCAATGATGTATTCGCCTCCATCTATCATACCTGAAAGCCAGTTCAACTGAGTATCTTCGAATGTGAAGTGAAGACTTGCCTACCTTGATAGCCCTCTCTAATGAAGTATACCTTGCACCCGAAGTAAATGCCCATCCGGACCACAGCCCTTACAGCAGCGTTCATGCCCTGGAATCAAAGAGATTAGGACAAACTAACCCGCTTTTTGAGGCCCTTACCTGTGAGTCGCCTCCACTGGTGAACACTGCTATGCCCTTGCCCTTATGGGCCCCCCTTTCTATGAATTTTGCCCCTGCGGATTCTGTCATGTTGCCTGAAAGTTTACGAGAATTTTGAGTGACCCACTGACGGATATTTTCAAAAACTCCAAAAGTAAGAGTTTTTTGAAAAATGTCACACTTCAGGTAAGCAGGCAGTCACTTACCTGCACACGCCTATGTGAACCCACTTTATCAAAAATAACAGACACTGTGAGGTTTGTTTTGGAGTTGGAAAAATTCAAAATAATCACTCTAGACCTGGACAGTGCAATCTCAAGGTGACCCCTGCTCCCACACTCAATGGGTTTTATTGGTTAGAATCTGGGGGCATTCCAGCTGATCAAGTCACTTTGTATCCGATGGCGAGCGCCCGGTACGGGACGTCACAGCTTGCTTCAACTGCCGATGTGTTAAAACGAGAAAGGCGTAAGCAGCCAGTCGCGCATTGATCGGAACTGCACTAAATGGTGAAACCGTCTGGGGCTAGAAACGAACTACGTGACCAGTTCCATGTAGTAGAAGGGAAAGAGAGGATGAATGTGCCTTGTCGTTTGCTAATTACGATTTACCACACAATGTTTTGCCACATTGGAAAAAATTGCCAATTTATCTCAAATGTAGCTTGGTTTTGCAACGCAAAGTTACGCGACTGAACTAGATGTTTACTCAATGAGTCCGAGTTGGTTAACAACAGTTTTGAGATTTTTGTCCTCAGTTTAGGAAATAAATACTTCTACTATTTCTTGTCTCCGGTTTGTGTTGTCCGAAAAGAGTCTTCTGAAAGCATAGAAATGCAGTAATTAGCTTTCTTTATTAAAATTATTGCAATTTACCATTTTGCGATAAAACATTCGCCAAAATGTCAATGATATATGCCAGACGAGTCAAGAAGAGGTTGTAGCCCTGTTTATGCCTCTCCTAGTTGATTTACATTGGAAAATCAAAAGTGTGACGTAGTGTCTTCTTTATGAAACACCCTGTATAATGCAGACATAATATTTATCGACAAAATGAATATTTTTTCTTTTCCCAGTGGCGCAGCTGTTGGACTTGATGAAGATTATTTTAAATTCTACACAATTGGGCGAATGGCAATTTCAAAGCCCATTTTGAGAGGCGTTTGATTTATATGGGAACCATGTATCGGAACAGTGTCTCTGGTCTTTAGTCAAAAGCACTAAAGTCAGATAAAGTGGGAACTTTTTAATGAAACGGAAATTCGCTTGAAAACTTTGCATTCAAATCGCCATTTTTTACAATACTTTAGTAGTTAGAAAAACACACGCAGTCAGTTCTAAGATCTACCACAAAAGCACATTGAATATTTAAATTTTTAATCCTACTTAACTCTCAGAATCTCGATCGTATTAAACGAACCAGTTGAGCTATAAAGCTCCAGTTTTGCCTGCGAGATAGAGAGTTAAATTGCGTACTTTTTTGTACCCAAACATCTTTTTAGAAACGTAACTATTTTTCAAGCAAAATGAGAAAATTTTATGTTTATACGAGTTTTCAGAACCGCTCTTATTCGGTGGCTGGCAAGAGAACGGGCCACACTATAAAGTTCTAGTTTTTATTGCCAAGTAGAGCGATAAATTGCGTACTTTTTTGTATTAAACACCATTTTAAAAATGTTACTAGTTTTCACCTCAAATGCAAAAATTCAAGAGTAATGCGAGTCTTTAGAACCGAAAAAAAGTATTGACAATCACTTTAACAGGAACGGATTGGATGGCGGAAGCAATAGGTAGTAAACAAACAGTTTGTCTCATCTTGTTTACTTGCAGTGATTGAAGATACACATATATTGGAAAAGTCCATTTCTTGCAAGAAATTCAAAAAATATTGTTAAACTACTTACAATAGTATATATAATATACTCAAGCGTAAATATGCGTCAAACTCTATATAAAATGTAGCCATTAATAATAAACGTAACTCTAAGCACAAAAAGGGGCTCAATCTCAAAAGGATTTACAAAACCGCCTTATATAATTTGATTCGCACTTCAGTATTTAGAGTTGAACAATTTCGAAAACTTTAAAATACTTTTCACAAAAACCACGCGTCAGACTAACGGAACAAGTTTGTAAAACACAAATTAAAAAGCAACGAAAAATAGCATACAATATGCTATAGTACCTAAAATGAGAGACAGTTCATGAAATACTACATAAATCGCCCCAAATGTAGAAAAACCACTGGCCTTGTTAGGATAAAAGTGTCGTCGTGTTCATATTCAATCGTCGCTGGTCAAAACCCATATTACATCATGGAGATATGTGACAACTTGGATTTTAAAGTTTTCCAACACCTCACGCGGCATATACAATAAAAGATCGTTGCACAGATGCCTCATCATCTGCATAATCCATGCTATGTTTACGCTGAAAAGGACAATGCGTGTTAGTGAATCAAGAACACTATATTATGCGTACAGTCAATGAGTTCCCGTCAAAATTCAAATAGAATTTCATTGTCTAATTAATCACTGTTCAATTTAAAACAATTGTTTCGATTGGATAAACCTGCAGATTCAATGGATGAAACTGTTATTACATTGCGCAAATTTTCAGTTCTTGAAAGGATTGTCTATGGTCTATGTAATACAACATTTTAGCAGAAAATCTAACAGTAAGAGAAACTTATAGCGCGTTGCGCTTGCCGAGTGGGCATTTAAGAACGACTTTTGAACAAGGAAGACTCACAAACTTCAAATTTGGAGCTTGTAAGCATCGAAAATGATGTTTAAAAAACATTGATGCAAAAAAGATCACTTCTGATTTTGTACTAAAGAATCCCAAAGATGCACCGGCGCCCCACGTATTCCACTCTTGGGAGGGAGTCGGGGAATGACTTTCAGACTTTTTTGGACGAACCTCCCCATTTACACGCATCACAAAATCGTATAGAACGCAAATTTACCTGGAAATCAGGCCGCACTATCAGCGCTATCGCACTTCTTCTAATTTATTCTCCAAATGCTCCCGATACTGGCACATACCCACTGTGTTTTGACGCGCTTAATCAAGTTTCCGAAAAAAAAAACAGAAATACACAGACGATAAGATGAATTATTTACAATTCGAATTCATGAGGCGATTTAAAACCATGAACTTTTGAGCCGACTATCAGTTGAACGAAGGTAATTTTCGAAAATGGGCCCCATCATCATAGTCGACCTCTTAATGCTCGTGGCCTGCTGCCAAGGCGTTAAAATCATTTGGGACAACGATATCGAAGTGGATCTGAATGAAATTGACGATGACTCGGGACGGTCTGGTGAACGCAGGGTTCCCAATTGGTTCTTCATATTCCCTGGTAAGTCTTGCAGGTTGTTTTGAGTGCAGCGGGGTGGAACCATTTCTCCTCGCTTAGGCACCAAATGGTGTGGAGCAGGAAACATAGCGGAAAACGATGCGGATTTGGGAACGGAGCGGGATACAGACAAGTGCTGTCGCACACACGATATGTGTCCGGATATCATTGAAGGACACGCCACCAAGTACGGCCTAGAGAATCCTTCGTTTTACACACGGTAAGAGCCGAGTCAAGGCTGAGGCAAAAACCTTAAAACCATCGATTTTCAGCCTGATTTGCGATTGCGATGAGGATTTCTACAGGTGCCTCAAGTCGGTGAACACCAAAACCTCCACCCAAGTCGGGCACATTTACTTCACAGGCCTCGGAACGCAGTGCTACAAGCAAGAGTATCCGATTGCCGGTTGCAACAAGTACACCACATTTCCGTAAGTTTGCCTCTCCGCTTCGATTTTGATCTTCTGGTCCGAGTTTTGCCTGTTTTTAGGCGAAGAAAATGTTTGGAGTACATATACAATAAGGGGATGCCCAAGAAGTACCAATGGTTCGATATACGGAACTTCTAGAAGCAGACTCAAGATTGACTTGTACAATAATAAATACAAATGTTTATGAAATAAGGATTTTCCTTAATCAGCTTGCGTTTATGAGAAAAGTATAAAGGTGCACGAAAATTCCACGATAGTTTAAAAGACCGAAAAGCTTAGCCATTTTATGGTGTGCGTCTTTTCCAGTCTGTAATGTATATACCTAGATTATATGTAATATAAATAAAACGTGTATATAGATTCGATTGAAAAGAACAGGGCTGGATATTACCACATTGCGCGATTAATCCAGCCTCGGAACTGAACGAAACTTGTGGCATTCGGTCACAGTTTCTCGTTTACGCTGGGGAAATTGCTTGGGACTTTGATGTTGTGCTGTTTGATGATGTGACTGGGGAAATTGCTGTGAACTTGCCGGGAAAGTCCTTGATGAACTCATGAACTTGATGAAAAATGCCTTGCGAGGCCCACGATATCGAATGCGCATTCGGGAATATCTCGGGACTGTCTCCGAATGGGCTGAAGCAAAAGATGGTACGACAAGAACAACCCGCAGAAGAACTTTCTCAATTTCTGCATGTAATTATGAGAAAAAATTTTATTCAAATCGAATCTACTTCACAGGGTTTGTGAGGCTTAAAAACATCGATTGTTTAAATCCGCGTTCGAAAATCTAGTCTGGTTGTCCCAGAACTAGCTTTAGAAGACGGCGGTGGGTAAAGCAAACACTACAGAAAAACTTCTCCAGTATCGCAATTAATAATTAAAAACTCTTTCATACAATTGAAAGAAATTGACAATTTTTATAAGAGAAGATGTATATAATCGATTTCTGAAATTTTCATTCAAAAATTTGGTCTGGTTCTGTCACAATGACCTATAGAAGAAGATGGCACAAAACGAAAAAACTACAGAAAAAAATCTTCAAATGCCACAATGAATCTTAAAAAAGTCCTTTTCCCAAATTCACAACATTTGTAAAAGAAGGCCTACTATATCAATTCCTAGAACCCGCATTTGGAAATCCGGTCTGGTTCTTTTCGAATAAGATGATGCAAAAATAGAAATGAGAATAATAAATTTCGTTTAAATTTCTACATTAATATTTATATAAATATAATAACATTTACAGTGCTAACAACTGGAATCAGCATACTTTGTGCCTTATAGAATATTAAGTATATGGGCAATTTATCTAAACATTCTTATCTGGTGAACACCTTAGAAACAAACCCGTATTGCGCTTAAAAAAGTTTACGATTACTTTTATTAACTTCCACGTTGTACGTGCCTTATTCTCGCATAACTTTCCAGAACAACAGATGAAAAACATGTGGTCTTTCTTACTATGCGTCTTAATTGTTGCCTGTTCAAGGGCGAATGCGGAAAAAGTGCTTTGGCAAAATCAAGTGGAGCTAGATATGGATGAGTTGACGGCCCACCAATCTGATTTAGATGGCCTGG